CCTCCACACACATGTCCACTTCCTTGTGACTCAAATGTGGGCTATACAGTGAGGAAAGTTTTTGGTGCCGTTGCACCCATCGCTTAAAGAGCGCTTTGTCATCTGTAGCGCTTTCGCCAGGGGCGAGCACTATAGGTATTGTCCGCGTTGCGGGTACACGAGAGCCACCTCTTTGCGCACGTAGACGAGTGCGGTAAGCTTCCAGCGGAAATTCTTGTGGAACCAAGAAACGAGCTCAAAGAGCTTTCTGTTTGGTATGCTCATCTTCCTTTCTGGCCGGGGGCCCGATGATGTGGACGCTTAACGACTGAGTTACCGCGCTCTTCGCTTCCGCAGCGGACTCCGCTAGGCGGAAGCCATATTCCACACGCGGGTCAATGACCGATCGTGGTTGGGCGCGCTTTAGAGCCGCCTTATAGGCAGCTTCAAGCTGCCGCCTTTGTTCCCGTCGAGGTCATTGGCGATCACACCACGTCCCCCAGTTGACGAGACACCAGGGAACGGGCACGGGGTCCGCAAGGTGCGAGCAGGGCTCGTATCACGCTGCTGGCGTAGCTCGTCTATTCGTCATCTCATGGGGGAAAAGGTGTGTCGGACTCGTAGTCAACCACCCCACATCCTCAACGAGGTCGTTAGTCACTGATAGCGTGCGCGGAGCGCGACGCTTGTGCTCATCGAGCCTAGGCTCGGTGCCGCAGACGCGCTGTCCGACATTGCACCGCGTGCGGGGGATGAAGTTGGGCTCTGCCCGTTTGTGCTGTTGGAACCAGCGAGGCTTGGTGACTTCAGTGTCGTGGACAAAGGGGTCATTGAGCACGGAAGTTGTTTCGATCAAACGCAGTGTCTAACGGACACGCAAGCCTCGTTGAGGCAATAATCGATTGGAACTGTAAATGTTCTCAGTCTTAATGGGGGAGAGTGTAACGAGATTACACATACCCTGATAATAGGGGTGTGCTACACCACATGGGCGTGGTGTGACCACACCCAAACAATAATACGGTACGGGGCTAAATAGCCATTAGTTATACATGTATCTGGATTTTACTAATTATATTTAGGAAGATCTACACTCTTAGAATCAGGCGGTTTAGCCGCAAATATAAATAAATAAAAATCAGTTTATGATCTTAAACCGAAACGTCAATTAGCCTTGGGAAGGCAGGATTTGAACGCATCGGCTATTAAGACCCTACTGTGGCGTAGTAGATACCACTTATCCCTGATTACAACGTGACCGAGTCTGCACAAGTCGCAGTGATCCTTGCGTCTGCGAAGACGCGAAGGGCCCGAAGAGCAAAGTTCAGACCAATAGTAACATACTAGACGTTGTCGTCAGCCCGCCGTAACCTTCTTCCACCGTCAGAAGAATGAACGATGTTTGAAGCTTATGCAAGTTTTAGGTAGAGCGTAGAGAATACCACAACCTCGGCGAGGACAAAGGTTGATAAGCAACTTGATAGCCTCAGTCATTATTAACTAAATTTGCTGGCCACCAGAGCTGCTTATTCCTAAGTAGCTCACTCGACATATAGCAGGTCTCTCAAGCGCAGTAATGTACAAGTGAAGAAATGGAATCCCAGGCGAAATGGGCGCTTGTATATCATTAGAGTTGCGCCATTCTCCAAAAAAGACTGAAGGACTGTGGATGGTGTCAGAAAGAATTTGCACCAAATCTCTGGTTCTCAACACTCGCTATGCGAGGAAAAAATCTGATTAACGCAAAGTATGAGACTGACAGCTTATGTGTCCCAAAAATCTTTGCGCTTGCAGTACCATAGATCTGTAGTTCTAAATCGTGATTATTTTCCATCATAGTTGATCATGGTATATTTAGGTCTACTTTTTATTGTAGAAACCCACAACCTGTACGAAGACTGCTGCAACTATATGTACGCTTTAAACGCGCTTCTGTTCAACAAGCTTTAATGAGTCAATCAAAGTTTAACGAAAGAAATATGTAGCGTTTGATATTTGTGTCTAGGAGTGATATCATATCTCTTATCCAAACCTATGATATATGAATGTTTTTTAATAACTCAGAGCTATACAAAATAGCTTTGGATATTTTCCTCGTCGAGCGTACGTTTAAATAGCGTGACGACCTTAATGAAGCGCCGTAGTTGACTACGTCGCTGTTCTCTTCTAGCCTTAGATATGCAGTACGCTTTAAATTAAGTTTTGTCATTGAATTGGTTATTTAAACTGCAGTGACGATGCCGTGTCATGCTCCTCTTTAAGTACGCTCTCTTTCTATGCCGAACTAAGAAGACTCATGCTACGCATAGACGAGCTCGAGGAGGTGTATTCGGAACAGCTACTTAGCAACTTGGACACTATTGAAATGAGCATGATGTTGGCGGAATCTCTAGCTAAAAGAAAGCAGATTGAGATGGAAGACAGGATCAGGAGCACCCGATTAAGGAAGCCCTCATCAGCTGATTTGAACCTTCTTGAGCAAGAGAACAATGTAATCACTCACATCAATGACAGCCTATATAGAAGTGAGTTGTCGGACAGTATGCCTAACAAGGCAATCGCTGAATCGATTGAGCCAGACACTTCTTTGCACGAATTACCATCATCAATGTTAGAGCCACTTCTTTCACTTAAAGCCTACAAAGCAATCTCGTTGGCTCCTGGAATCGAAACGAAAGATTGTGGCCGTAAGCCATTCAATTTGCGCAAAGAAAAATCAAAGCGTCCACCACTGTCCGACCCCAAGGCACGACTACGCAATTATGAGCGCCGTAGTCGATACAAGCGAGAAGTAAGTCTTTGTAAATCCTTTTTTAAAACGCTGTATTATCGCTTATTAAGATTTATGCGTTTGGTAGCACATTCTGTTGAATATGAGGAAGATTAAGGCGGCAACGGAGACTCAAATTCGCGATTTGTGCATAAATACGAAGTGTGTGAATCCGTTAGTTGCTAAATTTGTGGAACTCTCCAAGGAAGCAACACTCCTTGCAAACCACAATTATGAACTACGCAAGGCAATCGAAAAGCATGTCTTTTTCCACTTAATGTTACAACTCGAATACGATCACGTACGTTGGGTTCATCTAATTTTTCGTACTAAAATGGTAAATTCGTGCTGTTTGAATACCTTAGCGCGAAATAACAGATAATTTACTAGCCGAGAAGCTCTTTCCAATGCTGGACTCTTGGCGTCCTCTAGATGAGACGATGTGTCATCGTCTCATGCGCGACTCGTTCCTTGAAATCGAGGCCTTTTCCAATAGTCAAGATTTTATTGCGAATGATTTAGAGCTTTGTGGCTGGCATGAGAAGCGCATGCTTGTTGGTACTAATGTCAACTTTATGTTTCACAAACACTTTGCGAAAAACTGTAGTGACGATCTAGCGGCACGTAGCTGGGCAATGCGAGTTGAGCAAGATCAAGTAACGCGCTACTTTGGTCACAGTCTTAACGTCAAGGTTAAAGTACTACAGCGTTACAAGAACGATGTCGTTGTCGTGCGTCGAAAGATGAAACACATGGTAGACGGCTGGGTGCACAACACAATTTATCTTTTATTCCGTACGAAGACGTCGGACGGACATATCGTGTGCATCCGGGACATGAATCCCGAGAATGTGGAAGGTCTGCACGTTTTGACGGGCTATAATCCGTCACAGTCTGGGTTCTGGTCCAAAGCTTTTGTCTGGTGGAAATTTAGAAAACTACCGAAAGTGAAAGGCCAGCGAATCCGCGGCTTTGAAGTAGAATATGGAGGATCACTGAGCTCGGCTACGTCTGCAGACGCCGCATTCTGGATGCGCGAAGTATTGGTCCTTGCGTTGCGATGGGAGAATCTTGTCGTTGGACCTCTACTTACGTTACATTGATGCTGTGGGACGGGTGTGACTAACCGTGGAGATGTCATGCTGACGTCGTTCACTGGTCCCAGTATCATTATTATACTAACAACTTTAGCTCAAGAGTAAGTTATACTTCAACGTTAAAGCTGAGCAGCCATTGTCGTGACTATGGAGGTGCCTTCTGTAGTCAACAGACCACGATGGACAGGAAAAGATTCTATCTGCGTTGGTCTTTCGATATTTGTGGCAGTCAACGTACTCATGTGTCTTTGGGTAGCAGCGGTCTCAATGTCTACAGCACGTCGTCAAGCTACTGCCGTCTTTATGGCAGTTGAGAATGCTTCTTCTATCTCATTCAACCTACATTTGAACACTCATTCTACTTTCAAAGAAAGAATAAATGTAACCGGGCGAATTTATCCGCGTTATTCCAAGTGCTTTCAAAGGCTCTATTTCGATGGTCGCATGGTAGTCACTTCAATGAATACGAGCGAGATGTATGCTCTGACAAATCATCGCGGATATCGTTGGCCAATAGGTGTAAGCAGCGTGAACGCAACATGTTTGAGAACCCAAGAGCTTTTACCGTTGCATACACTGGCTGATACGGTGCACAGCGCAATTTGGTCGAGGAACTACTCGAACTTTTGCGTGCTGGGCAAGCCGCTGCTATTTACGTTTAACAAGACACCGTATACAATGTGTGCCGAGGATTGGCTTCGAGCGAGACTTCAAATGACCTTAGTGACGAACGGCAGTTTTGTATTGAAAGCTCCGAATCCAGTGCTGATGATTTATGGCGATCAATCGACGCTAGAGCTCACGGTTTTGTCAGAATCCGAAACGCCGGTAGATACAAAATCATCATTTCAGCAGCTTGACACCTGTGAGTATTTAGAGGCACCCATGACCTCAGGCGAGATCTGCTCCTTCTGGCCAATGCGCTGTCCCAATCCACACCAAGATAGTTGTACGAATCAAACAATCATAACGAGTAAGGCATGAAAGAAGACAAATTTCAATTTCGAATCTATGTCTATTTAGTTTTTGAGACAAGGTTATAGTCTGCTTGTTTCATAAATGTGCTACCGTTAGGCTAAATTGTCGTGCGTGGGAAGCTGCAATGCATCACATGTTCAATACTCCAGTGTCCACACTTGTCAAATGGATGGAAAAGTTGCAGAGCCATTGGAACAGCCACAGCGTGTGGCACTGAGTACGGTTTCGCTTGACTCAAGCTATGACCACGAAGTTGAAGATTCGATTTCAAGTGAAAGGCTCAACAACCATCCTTTAGCATTTTTTGTTGTGTTAATGGGTTTGATTTTGCTTGCTGTCTGCCTGGTGATTGCTCTGGACCACGACGATAGCATTCATAACCGAGATGCGTTAGATGAAGAAGATCCAGCCTTTTCAATAGTGCCCTCGTCAGTGACAATCGATCGACATCTCATCTCACCTTCGCAAAAACTAATTGAGTGGATAATTCAAGCACAAGATGCAAGTCAGATTGATATAGTTGGAAGCAGCAGTAACATGAGTTGGAGTGGAACTCTTTTTCCAACGAAAAACACCAATTTCCCACTATACTTTGATGCTTTCATGACTGTATATTCCGGAATCGTGCTACCACGCCGACAGTATGTAGCACTAGCTAATGGACGAGGCTATCAGTGGATCACAACATCGTTGGAAAATGAAGATATTATCACTACAAGCGGATGTTTGGACATCAATCAAATTGCACTACTTGATGAATTTGATTCTGTTTTATTGACGGCAAATTGGGCTTTATCATCTGACAGAAGCATGGTAAATGTCGTGTTTCAAGGTGTAAAGTATCGTATGTCAAAGATGAATGACGATTTAGATTTCTTAATGGTGAAAGATGCTGGTTGCTGGTTAATTGAGAGTGAAGATGCCGATGTCAATTTTAATGCCTGCATTTCAAATCGTCGAAATCTTCTTTCAAAATCAATTTTTAAAGACATTTTGAAAGCAACGAGTGAATGTCCACAATTTGCATGGAAGAATATTAACTCAATGGGGCTCACGATACTGTTTGTTCCGCTACCGTTGAGAGGTTGGTATGCGAGCTACCTTTAACTTCTTGAGAGTTATTCGTAATTATGAAATCCAGAAAATTCAATTGTTTTGTCTGCTGAATATTGTTTCTCTTCAAAAATTTATATTAAGATTGAATAAAATACATAATCTCAATCATGGCAACTATCCCTTCGTTTCGACCGCGATATCTCTGCGTGGACGTTGTTGTGCGCGAATACTCGGATATAGAAGCTCTCGACCACGTAATAGCAAACCTTAAGTCATTTCTAGATGTGTCAAAAATCTTGTCCGTTGCCGTCGCTGCACAGTATCAGCCTATAGACTCGCAATCATTAACACTGCTAGAACATGCTGCAGTACGCGAAAAGAAAAAACTTATACACTGGTCTTCGGATTTAAAGCGCAATTATCGACAATATCAATTTGAAACTGCGTTGAATACTGCGGCTGCTCGGGGACATTTCGCTGGTGTGAGATGGTTACGGTCCAGATATTACCCAAAGGGAAAATTTCATGGTGCCGAACGAGCAGCGCTCTTCAGTTGCAATTTACAAATGCTACACTTTCTTCATGACAATTTTAGCAATAAAATGGTGGATGACGTGGCAGTAGATAGTCAAGATGCTATTGTCCATGCGGCAGCCAATGGACGATTGGACCTTGTGCAATGGTATTGTGAAATGAAGGGCCCGTACGCAGTTGGATGGAACGTCATGGACGCAGCAGTTGCAAATAATTGCATGACTATCGTACAGTACCTTATTACTGTACTGGGAAATCGATGCACGAGACGTGGGCTTGAAAGTGCTGCTCTTAATGGACACTTGGACGTAGTGAAGTGGCTCCATGATACTCATTACTATGAAATTAGAACATTCAAGACTTTAGAAAATGCCATCATAGGAGGGCATTTAAATATTGTCCAGTACGTGATGCAGACAGTGGTTGTAGCCTATACATCTTGGACTCAAGCGGCTTTGACAGCTGCCGTGACTTTTGGACAACGACATATTCTAGAGTGGCTGCATCACCGAGCGTTGATGGTTGCAACCGTGCACAATCGATGCTTTCGGTTTGAAATTTATACCAATCAGCTATATGCTGTCGCGAAAAATGGTCATCTTAAGGTGCTGCAATGGCTTCATGAACATAAGTATCCAGTTCATTGTCGACGAGCACATGTTGTTCGTGGAGCTGCAGCGGGTGGTCATCAAAACATAATTGAGTGGATGGAATTTACATTTGAGTCTTTAGCACGTCAGCGTCACCGGATTCGAGTTGACGGAGCTGGTGCTTATGGAGATCTTCAGTTTGTTCAGTGGCTTTCTTATCAAAAATACCGTTTTACGACCCATGCATTGGATGATGCTGCAGCTGGTGGCTTCTTACCTGTAGTGTGTTGGATGCATGAAAATGTAGAAAAATCTTCGTGTACAGTTGCAGCAATGGATCGTGCTGCCGCAAATGGACATCTTGATGTTGTCAAGTATCTACATCAGAATCGCAAGGAAGGTTGCACCACTGCAGCTATGGACAATGCTGCACGCCATGGTCATTACGAGGTGGTGAAGTTTCTTCATGACAATCGTAGCGAATACTGCACAGCAATGGCTGGTGAGACGCAATCAGTTGCAGTATTGCAATTTCTGAAGGAAAACAAGCGTCTTCGCACTAAATTACCGAAGACGATTGACGCTTCAACAATAGGTAACCTGGAACTTTTGCAATGGCTTTACGCTTATGACCGACGACACTTTGGATTCGAGGCGGTCGTGGATGAAGCACGTGAACACAATCATTTTCATATATTGCGCTGGCTGGAGACTTTGCCAGAGGCTGGAAGACCTTAAATCAACAGTGTCAAAGTAGTACTTTGTTTTTAGTATCTTATAATTAATTTTCGAAAAGTTCGGCTATCATAGATTTGATGATCAGCTTATCACCATCTGCTCTTCCGACGATTCACCGTCCTCAACCGCCACTTCGCCCTCCTCAACTGCCACTTCGTCTTCCTCAACTTCCATTACTGTGGTAAATGCGCCATTTTCGCTTTTTGGAGCGAGTGTTAGATCATCAAAGCCAAGCTTGGCTAATGTATGGTCCATCCTCTGTCGCTGGCGATCGCGAGCTCGCTTCTTGGCACATTTTTTCTTCTTGTCTTCTACCTCATAAATAGTGCGATACACCTCTCTCGGTACCTTTTCTTTTAGTAGTGTAAAAAATACACCACCAGATGTGCGACGCCGTGGCTTGTACTCGTGCGAGACCTCATCCCTCACGCAAAAAAGCGCGGGCTTGCCACTGGCCACGGCATTTACAATCTGTCCGCCTTCTCTTTCAAGCCGCAGCGTCTCACGAAGAAGTTTCCATGACATATTAGGTCCAACATATTTCACTACGCGATGTAGTAGTGCCAATTTTGGTTCTTTGAGCACTTCAGACAATACTTGAGGCATGTCCTTCGTCAGTGGTTGCTTGTAATTCTTTCGTCGGCGCTTTGGCTTGTTGTCATGCGATGTTGAAAAACTGTTGCCATTTTTTCTAGTCAAGTATTGCACATTGTGCTTGAATTGGTCTGAAAGCGCTGGGGTTGTAGCGTTAATCTGCTCCGTCGAATGTGGAGATGCATCCATCGTTATCGTGTCAACAGGATTTGTTCTAGCCAATCATTGACTTTTAATTTCGTTTTGAATTTTAGAAATTTCAGGTGCTCCTGGAGTTTCTTACCGCTCAAGATTTGTCCTATTGCCTTTCCGGGACCTTAAGTTGGTGGTAAAATAGATCAAATCTTGGCAAGTGGAATTTCAGGCTTCGATGTAAAATAACGATGATCTTAAGTTTCTATTTTACAAGGAAAGAAAGAAACGAGATCGTAAAGTTCTGTTTGTCGGTAGCTTTCTTGCAATAGATTGTTGTTCTGCTCTACGTTCTTTAACCTCCAAGCTTGATATATTCCGTAAAAGAAATAAAGAATCAAGCATTGAGATCGTGAGTTTTACATGAACATTTAGCCTCGTAGACGCTCAAGTAAGATACCTCCTCCGCTTTTTGGGTAACATATTTTATTGGTACTTACGGTATATTATTGTCCTTTTGTGTGCAATTTTGGTAAAAAAATGGCAGATTAGATGCAGCTCTTCTCTTCTTTTCTCTTCTCGCCGCATATCGCCAAAATCCTGACGACAAGCTGTGAAAGATGCAATTGCAGAGACAAGCTCATTTCAAAAGTGCGCTATCAATCATGGCGTTTCTCTTGTATGCGATCATGGCGGCAGTGTCAAACCAGCACATGTACAACGTACGAAAAAAAGTGTCAAAGGTATAGAATGATAGCAAAAGCAATCAAATTTTTAACTTACCCTCCAGAAAAACAATTTGGTGGATGAGTGACAAACATGCACGCCGCAAAGCAAAACCTTTCATTCTATCCCTCTAGCGATCAGAATGAAGGCCTGAGCCATAATCATGCACTTCGTACTTTGAATCCCCGATTTACACATAATGACGTATCAGTCAAAATTAAAAAAAAACTTTTTGATCATTTGGTTCTGTAATCCAAAAAAGTATAAAAGAATTGAAAGATAGTCCAGTCACTATAAACCCAGTGTGAAAAACAGGGGACTCTTGCTCCTAGGATGGGACTGTTGGTTTTTCACAGTAAATAGTGCATTGCGTGCATTGAATTTATCGCTGAAGCTTTGCATCTACTGGTACAGCTTGAATGCTCTTTCATCAAAGATAGCTGCTCATATTGTTGTACATTGTACCTTCTAAAGATCCCTCGGCCGCCAAATCTAAAAAAATGCCTGAATGTGAGATGTACAAGGTGTTGTAATGGGCGTTAGAGCGCGCTTTGTTTATTACTTATCATTAATTGACAGTTGAGATACCTATGTCAAGAGCTTGCATGAGCTCATGGCTTTTCACGGGCTTATCTTGGCCAGATCTTTGCTTGTTATCTGTAGTGATGGGACAATTACCAGCACATCTTGAGATTAAAAATGATACTCACATATATCAACTTTAACATTCCAGCTGATGAAGAAAATTTAACCATAGTATAAAGTTAAATGTACGATTTGACACATCCTCATGATGCTTCAACGTATACACAACAATGATAAGGATACACACCACTGTCGCTTGATCTCACTTTGCATTATGCATCCGACTCCTCAATCACGACATCGACTACCTACCCCCTAATTGCCAGCTAGTGGAACAAGTATCGTCAATGCGCAAGTTCATCCTTCTCCTCGTGATTATCGTCAACGGCGTCCTCTCGACACCTTTCTTTATAGATGAGTTGGAGTCCGAACCGAGAGTTTTTGCGCAGAGAGGCAGTAATACAAATCGTATGCTCCAAGCAGGCGAACACGTCCATGCTTTAGACGAAGAGCGAAGGCTGGTGGTTGGTTTCAAGGCCGAGGCGCTAGGTCATTTGAAAGCGAAGGTTAAGTTACCAATTTCTCGAATCAAGAATTGATTTTACAAGCTGAAAGCGAGGCTCAGATTCGTATGGACAACGTTTAAGTCTGCTTATCGTGATACAGATAAGACAATTTTGATGGGAATTACTCCTGGCTACTATGCCTCCGTCTGGAACAAGGTTGATCCTGGATTCGCGGGTTTGAAACAGTTAGACGAGCACGGTAATTATATAGATAAAAAAGCGCTTGACTGGTTCAACAAGTTCGACAAAAAATACAATGATCTTTTTCAGCATATGAACTCGCCCGCAGAGTTCATTGCAAGATTCAAGATGGTGGAAGAAGCAGAGATGAAAATGTCATGGATCGGTCGCCTTTGTGCTGGCTTGGAGATGAGAAGAACAAGCCGCATTCTCAAAAAAGGTCTTCCTGCAGAAAAACTGCTCGATCGACACGTTTCGCCTTTTTTGTACCTAAGGTGGTTAATGGAGAAATATCCAGAACTGCTTGAGAAGGCTTCGCTTGACGAGTGGCTTAAACATCCTGCTTTTAAAATTTGGTCGGATTATGTAAAGCTCTATGAAGAGAAGTTTCCTTTTCCAGATGCACTGAAAGTATAGTTGAGTTGTCGGTAACTTTCTTGCAATATATTTTTTAGTAAGTTGTTAAGTTCTCTGTGTAGTTAGAGCACAATTATTTTTCTTTTGTAGGTACTTCAATCATACCTTTGACGTTATACCTATTTCTAAACGATTTATTTATACTTCCATATGAGATTCAGCAATATCGCTTTCGTCGATCCTTACTTGGGATATATAATATCAGCGAGTTCAGCAATCGTACCAAAAGCTCAATTTTTGTAGACAATCATGTCAATAAAGAATACACTCAAGCACATTCAATAAGAAATGTGTACGATTTTAATGCAGCCTTTGTTCTGATCACAAAAACTAGTATGAGATCTCGCTCAGCGATGTGCATGCTCAATGGTGAGAGAGTAGAAAAAATCACTCAGTTTGTCTATCCAAAGTGCGTGATGCAGCAATGACACAAATTGACGCATCAAACCACGACAGAAAGAAGATTCTGTAAAGCGGTCCTTCCCCGGTATTAGCCTCCTTCTTAATAAAATAGCACTATTCCTGATAGCAATTAGCAGCAAAATAAGATCGCTAGACAATAAGCACAATGCAATTTTATTGTGATGCTCATTTAATCGCTTCTAGGCAGTTAAAGCATGTTGGAGCACGACATTAGATACTTCAAAAAACATGTGACATGATATCGCAGCTGCTGACAGTGTGACGAACCTCAGAAAGCGTTTGCCGTTGTTGCTGGTCAAAATGATGCGTCTAGGTATCGAAAGCACGCTGTAATACGTCTGCAAACACTTCAAAGAACATCATGACATCACAGCTGCTAGTTTAGAAATGTCAAACCATGCAATTGATTCTAAGCTCTTATTTGATTTTTGATAAACTCCACTTAAAGATATAATCACTTCAAGAAATTTTTTATCTAAATACTGTTTTTAGTTTATCGAATCTTAAAGTATCAGTCTTGTTTGATAATTACAAGCAGTAGAAGAGTTTCGTTGAATAATTGTGTTTACACGTAAAACTTTTGTGCAATTGTAAAAAATTGCATATCTTGTACAAACAAATTTGTGTAATTTTATAGAGCTTAAAGACATCAAAGTAAGTCCGTTGCACTAAGCAGCACTTGAGCTCAATCCGACGATTGAGTTGCGATATAACCATCCTGATACGCAACATAGTTTATGGGGCGCAGAATCTATTCCACCACCTCATTTTGCCTGCTTCACCTAATAGTTTTTTGCAAACATGAATTATTATTCTTGTGAGAGCTTTACTGTGTGTAACGGCGCATATTCTACCTAGATTACAAATGGCCTACAGCCAGGATGCAAGTTGCATCGTTCCATGAACAATAAATATTTTGCTAACTTACTAGAATGAGTCGTCCTAGTAAGTTAGCAAAATATTTATTGTTCATGGAACGATGCAACCTAATCAATGGCTACCACGCAGAGCCGCTACTTGCTAGAACATCAGAAAGTAATTTACAGGTCTCTGTATTTAGAATTTATATTAATCTTTGACAGCTGATAGCGACGTCCCTGATTATAGCTTCTGGACCCATGAAGTCAAGAAAATGCAAAATTTATAATCATTACCGATCACTTTGATTTAAAGCTTATTGATTTCTTTCAATGCCATTTTGAAATGTTTTCGTGCAAAACTTTTCACGGTCCTGAATATCTAAATCTTGCAGGACCTTTCAGCCTTGACTGTGAGCCAGCCGATGCTAAGCAACACATCAGTATGTTTAATGCATGTTTTTGTTCTTTTCGATAATTTTTTGTGCCGTAATCCTCTCCTGTTACCTCAGCACAAAAATTTAGACATGAGACAACTGCTGATTCTCAGTACATGGTTATCGACAGTCGCTTTTTCTTGACGAATGATGGTAAGCATGTCGCTAATGATGAGCAAAGAGTACGTGAGGGTATTGAATATGCTCGAAACACCGACTGCTGCGTAAAAAACTATTATATTTACCGTCGTTAAATGGGCGGTTTTGTCACTCTTCAATTTGAAAAGTTTAAAACGCAATGACGCGCACATACACGTCAATATCTGCCTGAGGTAAAGCGCATTTTTTGGCAAACAGTTAATCGTGACAGGCGATATAGATAGACGTCTGTGGCGCACATAAGATATGATTCTTAAAACCTAATGGCCTTCCTTAGTATCATTCATCAAATTTTGCCAGGTTCAAACAATCTAGTCGTCTGTGCTAGCGAACAGATAAATAAAAGCCCTACACATAAGATCCTTGCATTCGTTTGATATGGATGTCCTCATCTGAGTCCGCGCACCAGTAAGATTTGACATACTCCTGATAGTTTTTTTGAGAGGAGGTATCTCGACATAATCCGCCTACACACATGCGCAAGTGGCCAGTCAGACCAGGCCGAATTGGTATAACAGTACTGTCCAGCAAATGACGACATTAATCTTCACACCATGCTAAACTTCTAATTGATTTATCTCGTATTTTTTTTTCGAAACTAGAGATATAATTGCATTGTGTGCATTCACTAGAGCGCAACTTGCAAGTCCCAGATGTAAAAGCCGACGTTTGCTTTGCTCTTTACGACTATGGATCCATATTTTGTCGAAACAGGTTTGTGCATTGTCTTGAAATATACAAATGAGTACTCTTCGATAGACATTCTCTGATGTATGACATGTAACTTACAGTGAATTCTGCTTAGCCTTCTCAATACAGTAAGAGGAAATCGTTGTTTTAAAAACCAGTCAAAAAATGCATCAACACGTGAATTACTCACGCATTTCTGTACGATCAAGGAATTGCAAATGGAATTATCCTCACTAACATTCCTTACCACTTATTACAGCGTATTGCCTTTTTGGTACCTTAACTTGTTAGTGGTTTTGATATAATCACGCATGAAGTAAGATGCAGATCTAAAGAATAAAGAGTGGCATAAATATTACAATAAACATATAGTTTTGATTGATTTAGTGCGAGAAGTTGTTGGTGATTCTCTTGCAATAAATTGTTCTGAGTTGTTCAGTTCACCACAAAGCCAAGCTTGGTACATTTTACCAAATCTTATAGTCAAAATGAAGATTTAATATTTAGCAACTACATTAAAACTGTGAGGT